AATTTAACCGTATAACATATTTTTAGGGGCTGTTTTGGCTGCAGTGTTGCCTCTTTTCTGGTAGAAAAATCTCATTCTTGCATACTGTTGATGGAATTTTACAGGAATATTTCCACAGCATCTCTGTAGATTTGTGGCAATAGTCTCAAGATACATCATGTTCTGTTTACCACAACTCTTACTTCTTCCCTCCTTTGCATCAGTACATCATGAGAATTCTATTTTGGTGGTTTATTGAATGCCATTAATCCTGGTGCTGGAATTCTTCATACCCTGCAAATTAAGCAAATTGCAATTGTGAAGAGGACTTATTTAATAGGATCAAATTAATCCAGAGTAATTGATTTGTGACCTGATCTTTTAAAGTGTAGACTAAATGTCCTTCATGCCCTCCTGGTCCCCTCATGACTTCTAATAAGCTAACAGTGCTCTGGATACAGTAGATTTCAGCTCATTAATTAGGCAGGCATGCAGCAGATGTTGTGATGTTCTCAGTGCTCTCTTTGCAGTGCCTGAAACCTCATACACTAAATTCCTGAGCTGATATTCACAACAGGGCCTTGGGTAGAGGAAGGTCCTTGTGCAATAAAGGAGGACATATGACAGAAGACCAGGGAAGTGAGCAGATTGGTAATGCTGCTCAGTGGTTGTACACTGCAAAGCTAGAGAAAGGTTAGGCTTTGGTTGGTCCTATAGTTGGTGTGTGAAAGAGGAGAAGGAATCTTACTTTGAGTTATTCACTGCCACAGTTGTAGTTCAAAAAATTCAATCTTAGTTTCTTTATTTCAGTATGTGCTGTGGACATGATTGTTTTGGACAAGCTGAGTATCTTTCTGCCTTAGCTTCCCCATTTGTGTTTGATATAATGATGCATTCCTGTTGTAGATTTAGACTAGATACAAGGAAGTTCTTCCCTGTGAGGGTGCTGAGGCACTGTCACAGGGTGCCCAGAGAAGCTGTGGCTGCCCCATCCCTGGCAGTGTTCAAGGCCAGGTTGGACACAGGGGCTTGGAGCAACCTCCTCTAGTGGAAGGTGTCCCTGCCCGTGGCAGAGGGTTGGAACTGGATGAGCTTTAAGGTCCCTTCCAACAGAAACCAGTCTGGGATTCTGTGCATTCTGTGCATTGGTGATTGGCAGCAGTAAAGAGTTTTAAAGGGTCCTGATCTTTACTTTTCTCTTGCCCAGTTCTTCTGAACCCAACTATTAAGAAATGTTTCTAGAGTAGTGACAGCCATTAATGACAAGTATTTACCCTAAGTATAATATTGATCTAAGGAAACGTATATTTTATATCAGGAATTAACTTCTAACTTTAAGATGGAATTAAGTTTTTATTCTACAGTCCTTAATGAAAGGAAGAATTTTCAATGTTTTTATAGAATAAGAAGTATTTACTTTTAAAAGTGCAAAATGACGACTCATTCTCTGTTGGGAAGGCAAGGAGTTAAATACTAGTATTTTTGAGATACATAGAAGAATTTGAATTATAACCTATGTGTCAAGTTTCAAGCATGCACAGTTGCTCTTATTATAACAACCTACTAATAACTAAATCCCTATCAGAGAGGTCACCATCAAAACTCTTACTTGTAACCATGCTTTCCAGTTTTGCTGAAGCTTTCTGAAAGCACCTCAGGTTTGCTTTCTCTTTAGTGTTCCGTGTAACACTTGAAGATAATTTCCAAACTTTTTCACACTGTCTGCTCTCACATCCTTATTTTTATTGTCTCTTGACAGTTTCCTCAACTACAGTGTTTCTGTTCCACTGCAGATGTGTATCAGACATATTAACCACACTGTGTAGATACCTGGAAATAATATATCCTGTTCTTTTGCTGCCAAATTAGTCACTTCTAAGAACGAGTAAGGTGTTATTCAGTATAAATGTTAATAATAGTACCTAGACTAGTAGAGATCCAAAACATTGATGTTTGTAACTTAAATGACACTTAAAACCTAGACAGCAAAGAGGGTTTCTGAAAGCATTTCTCACTGTACCTTGGTATGGTGAGCAGGCCCATGGTGCAAAGCTCCGGATGGGACAGTGGGATCTGGACAGGGCCTCTCTCCATCTGGGGAAAGCAGCAGGTCATTTCAGCCATCCCTACTTGTTTCATGCAGTGTTGCAGGTGGGTGCTCAGAGAGCAGAGGATCCCACCCTTCCCTAGCAAAGTGCTTTCCTCAAATTCCTTCTAACACCCTGCAGACACTGTGAGGGGTACCAAGCTAGTTTTGCCCCCTAGTTGTGCTTTGGGAGCTTTGAGAAATGAATGGATTAAGGAGGTGTCACAAGTGCCTCTCTGGAAACAGAGCACAGCCTTTGGAAGTAGAGGACCACTTTGTTTTCTAGGGAATTGTGTGTCATGGTGCTTCCAAGCCTGAAGCAGAAATATGCAAGCGGGCTCTTGCCTGAGGCCTTCAGCTTTTCTCTTCTGCAGTCTTGCTTCAGATAGCAGACAGGACCACTCTGTCAGCTGTGCACTGGGGTGCTTAGTAATACGTCCAATAAAATTCCTTTGATCTCATGCTGAACTCATCTTTTCTTGCACATGCCTATTCCCAGTCTGAGGGATACCCAGGTGACTCCTTAATCCATGAGATTATACACTGTATGTATTACATTCATTGTGAACTGGGAACTCTTGACAATGAAATTCTATTTGCATTGCATGAGCTCGTTAAGTAGCAGCCAAACTGGTGAATGTGTCTCTTTGTGTGTGGCACCTGGGGTTTGTCTTTTTTAATACTGGTTGTAATTTAAGGGCAGAGTATGTAACATTTGCAGCAAGCAGAAAGTTCTTCCTAAACTATTGCTTATGCATAGTTCAGTTTCATTTGGAAACATCAGTCTCATGAATGAGTGAATCCAAACTGATTGAAGGAAGGCAGCAAAGCTGAGCTGGTACACAACTAATATCTTAAATATAGATATTAATTCTTACTTAAGGTAGGGTTTGTCTAAAGGCCTTGCAATCTAGCAGGAGATGGAGACTCTGCTCCTGGGTTCCTGTGTCCTTCAGCACCACAGGGTTTCTAGATGATACAGTAACAAAAATATTCACAAATAACACACAGCACCTCCCAGCAGAATCACAGGCCTCAGCACCCAGCAGCTCTTGCAATTCTGAAATGTACAAGCAGAACAAAAGTATCTCCTGGTTAATGCTGGACTAGCTGGCTGGCAGGCTAGAGCAGCAGCAGTGCCTTCCCTGCCTCATGTATGGTAGGATTGCATCTTGCCTGCTTCCAAAAGATTTGGGAAAGGTCTTGTTTTGGTTCCTGCTTCAGCTTAATTCCTCTCAGAGTCCTTCCTCTGAGAAACTTAGATTTTTATCAGAGATGTAGGAAACTGTTTTCCTTTAATACAGTGTTCTTACAAGTATGATCCTGGAGAATGAGTATGTACATCAGTGAACATTAATGGTGAATAACATTTAGAAAAGCCCTGCCATTTCTCTCTTCAAATTGGAAACATTTGATGTCTTCTGTTCCTGGCCACTTCCAGGCTGCCTTTTGGCCTGTGTTCCTGATCAATCTCACACTGCCATCTGTCTTTGCTCATGGCAATGCTGCTGAGCAAAGCAACTCGTCATGTAAAGCAGCTCTGGATGCTGCCTGCCCAAGAACAGTGCCACAGCTGCTGTGTTCTCTGTATTTCTGTCAGCCTGGTGGAGCAGCAAACTGGAGGAATACTACTATTTCCTTTGCCAGTGCATACATCCAGAGCAGATGTAGAGCCAATTCATTACCTCTCGAAAGGCAGAAATGGACTGCAATCTCAATGTATTGCCATGCATTTGCCAGGATCTGCCCCACACTTAGCTCCTGGATGTTGGCAGCAATTCTTTCAGTTTCACACAAGGCAACAAGGGACAGTTTTGTTGTGTTCTTCTTTCTTGTTGCTCTGAATTCATTGACCTGTGAACCTCAGAACTTGCTGCCTTACCACTCTGGAGTCTGTTGTAGCTGGTGTCTGAGCAGCCTCTTGTCTGTGATCCGTCTTGCTTCTTTAGCAAAACATCAATCTTCAATGCTTTCTAGGCATTCCCTGTAGAATTTCAATTATCAATCTACACACAATTGCTGCATGAGACTACAAACCCAGTGTCAGCAGTGCCTGAAGTGAATTCTTGTACCAAAATAGAAAGGCAGATGGGTTCCCTGCCTGGACCTGTGGTAGATGAACTGTAACTTGCAAAAATACACTGCAGGCAGTCCAGGGTGGACATGGCTTCTGGTTCTTGACCCTCAGGACATGGCTTATGCAATAAGCCATGGTCATTGAAGGCATTAGAAGTTCAGATAAAACAAATAGGTGATTTCCTCCCTGCCCTTAAATTTGGGTTTTGCCCTCCCCTCCCCGACTTTGTTAACTAATGACCATGTGGCAGTCTGTGGAAGGTGCCTTGGGAGACACAGTCCATTGCCTTGCCATTTTTATCTGATGTTTTCAGCTTCCCAAGGTATTTTCACAGAGCACTGAGCAGTCCATCATGTTGGGAGAGACTGACAGTTACTGCAACTGGAGTATAAAGACATCTTCACCCAGTGATCAAAGCTGCTGCTTGTTTACCTGAATGCCATCTGGAGTAAATGCCTCTCTGGGCCGCAGCGAAAGCAACTGTGGGCCCATTCTCCAGGTTTGCCTGCCCTCTGCTGCCCTCTCGGGCAATTTCACGGGATGAGGAGGATTTCAAGCACTGTTGTGGCTGTTTTATTGTGCATTTCATGGAGACTTTCATCACATGCACAAATTTAAATGTAAATATATGGAAATTAGAACATAATTGACTTAACGTTGGAACTGGAGCTACAGATTCAGATTTGATCCCTTCTTTGTTTAAAGATGACATACTGGTAATTGTTTGACAGACACAGAAGCTGCATGGATGCAGGTGACTCATCTTCATTAGGGGTTAAATTCCATCCCATAACAAGTGTGGGCTTCCGAGTGGTGCATGTTTGCTCTGTGAGCAGTTTGTGTTCTGCTTTATTGCAGGAAGGTTTCTCATTGATCGATTCCCACAAGTGGCTAAAGATAGTCAGGAAAGCAGACTGCCTGCTCCTTCATGCGCAAGCCAAGGTAAGCACAATTGGGTTTAACATTTCTAATCACAGAATCACAGAATGATTTGGGTTGGAAAGGACCTTAAAATTGGGTTGGAACTAGATGATCGTAAGGTCTTTTCCAACCCTAACTATTCGGAGATTTTATGCCCCAGTCCCACCCCCCTGCCACGGGCAGGGACACCTTCCACTAGAGCAGGTTGCTCCAAGCCCCTGGGTCCAACCTGGCCTTGAACACTGCCAGGGATGGGGCAGCCACAGCTTCTCTGGGCACCCTGTGCCAGCGCCTCAGCACCCTCACAGGGAAGAGCTTCTGCCTAAGATCTAACCTGAACTTCCCCTGTTTCAGTTTGAACCCATCACCCATTGTCCTATTGCTACAGTTCCTGATGAAGAGTCCCTCTTAGCTAACACAGTTTTGAGTCACACTTTGCTTTGGCAAACAAAGTATCTAACCAAACAGTTATTCAGCCATTTATTGGCCCCTAACACTGGCACAGTACTGGCAGGCTGCTGCTTCAGGGCAATGAAGGGACCTGGGTTTCTGGTCTTCCCCTCAGATCTCAAGAAAAGCCTTTAAGTAATTAAATGGCACTTGGTTGTTACCAATCTGCTTATAAATCCCAGTTTTCCTGTTTCTTAGATGAACTCTGAGAAGTTTCATATTCATCTACACTGTGCACTGAAGCAATTTCACATGAGAAGAGTTCTGCCTTCTTCCATGGTAGTTTAAGAGGCTTTGTTGTTTCAGCAGAGACAGCTGCCTCCAGCTTAATTCTCTCTTCTTGACAAGAGAATTCATCTCTAAGCCAGAAACAGGAATTCTGGAACAAGATATTGAGCCCCTTGTTCAGTAGTTGCTAAGACTGGTTTTAACTCTTTGCCCCATTTCAGAGCTATTAGGGTATAAGAACAGCTCGATTGTCAGAGATGTTCTGGCATTCCCCTGACAGGATCTCAGGTACAGGCTGGGTTATTGTAATGGCAGAGAACAGCAATACCCAGAATAGCTGAAAACTGTGAGAATTCCTTTGAGTTGTATTTTGATCTTTTACCTGATTTCTTTTTTAAAGATGCCCAGAGATTTCTGTAGAGGATGTTACAAACCAAACAATACAGTTTGCAGAGGGGGGAATGCCTTGTGAATTGCAAGAAAAAAGCAGATGTGAGGCATAACAAACATTGTTTAAATGTAAAGAAGGACTCATCTCAGAATAAGCCTCATCTAACAGTGCCTGTAGGAACTTCATAAATACCTGAAACCATTTTAAATCCATGGGTTGTACTTGCCTGAGCCCAAACCACCTCTACCCTCTGATTTTTGTCAGATGCTTATAAAAGGTGGAGTATCACTGAAGTTGACTATTGAGCAGCTGCAGACATTAGCTCTTAGTTGCGTCTCCAGTGACAAGAACTAGTTCCCCAGCACAGCATTAAAGGATTCTGCTGCATCTCACAAGAAACAAAGAGAAATGAACAGCACAATCAGTGTGAGGCTGAAACAAAGCTCTGAGGGACAGTGCAAAAAGGATGGATATCAAGAGCCTTGGTTTTGTGCATCCCAGTGTTTACTTACCATAAATTCACACGGCAAACTGGATTTAGTGGCACTGCACTGGTCCTATCCTACAGTTCCTCTGCTTTGTATCCTGAATTGTAGCTGAAGTGATTTCTTAAATGACGTCTGTGCATATAACTTCTGTGCTGATCTTCAGCAATATGTTTCAGGAAGCAGCCACACCGTGTAAGGGGTTACATCCTATCCCTGCTAGACCTAAGTAAGGGAAGAATCAAAGCAGATTTAAGCAGAGGAAGACAAGGTTTCCAAAAACCAGTTCCTGTATCTGAGTGCACAGGGCAAATAAGGAGCATGGGCAACTAAATACGACTCCCTCATTCCTGATTCATCTTGTACCCCTTGCTTTTTGTAAGTCATTACTACTGCACTGGTAGTGAAGCTTACTCATTACTTAAGAAATGTGGGTTTAATAGGGCACTGTGGACTCTTAGCTAGCAGAAGGAGTTTCTAAACTCTCTTTGGAGAAGCTTAGTGTTGGTACACTTGAAGGAACAGATCTGTAGAGAAGATTTGTGTTGCAGAACAGCTGTGCTAGTGGAAGTTTTACTCAGTGGAGCACCCAACTGTGTAATTCCAAAGCCAAACAGAGATGCACCTTGTGTCTTACACTTGTCTTGTGTGGCTGCCACTGCCCTTTGTATAGCTCCATCTCTAATGACCTCTTACCTTATCTAAGTGACCTCTAGGTTCTTTAATTCTTCAGCTCTTGTATGGTGCAGGTGTGACTACCCAGTACTCTGTTCATGCTAAAACCTGACATCATCTTAGCTGAATTTGAGCATTCCCTCTCTTTCCATAAAGGAAAAATGTTTAATTTACAAAGTCTACTGGTGTTTATAAGCTGCAGTCTTAAGTATTTAATAGTCTTTATGGAAAAGCAGAGGACAACACAAACACCTCAGACTGAAAAGTGATTTGGGGATTGCAGGGCTAACTGAAACAAGCGTTCTGTGAAAGTCTCCAGAAGGAATTCAAATCAAGATGCAAGTTCCCTGTCATTTCAATGAGAATTCACCTCTTGGCATAGCCACACGCAGGGCTTAGTTATGTCAGTCTGACCCAGCTGACATCTCAATTAGAGGTAAGGTAACCCACGCACTGGTAAAATGAGTGCTCCAGTTAGTTTGACCTTTTTTGCTTTGAAAGGCACTGAGACAAGCTTTTATGCTTACAGTGCCCCGAAATCATTTTATGCCATACAAGCATCTTAAAATAACATGTATGGAAACATAAAGGCTGGCATCAAAAGCTGGCTTACCTGTGAGATGAAGCCTGTAGCATGAAAGATATGCTTGTATTCATGTCATCTAGCAGCATGTGTAGGCATTATAAACATGTTTGCATGTTGACACCTCAGAAGGATGAAGACTTGAATAAGCCAGGTCAGTCCAAGGAGAACTTGCTGCTTCTAGTACTTTACCTGTGTTTTACATTTGAAATCTCAAAATCAAACCAAAAGTCCCATTAACTCACTCCTTAAACACAAGCATTCAATACGTATCTGTCTTCAATCACTTCCATGTGCATAGGACAGGCTTATCATGCATGGACAGACTCTTCAGTCCTCCATTTTCAGTGCCATTTCCTGAACCTCATGTACCTAAAATTTATGGTACAGCATCAGAAGCTGTAACGGGGGTGGAGGGGTCAGAGCTACCTCTTATTTTTATTTTCCAGTATTATTTCCACTACTTGAAGTAATGCATTTGAGTGTCTTGTGCTCCCAGTCTACTATGTTAGTGTCTCTTCAAGGAACAGCAGCATTCAGGTGGAGTGCTAACCTGAATTTGGAAACTTCATTTCCCTGCTATACATGTAAAAACTCTTGTCATGGCAAGGTTTTCTCACGTGGCTATACCTTCAGTTAGTTGGGAAATGGCCTTACTCACCAGTTTGGGTTGGGTTTAATTGATTTTCAAACTGGGAATCATAGTCTGGTTTAGCTGCTGGGAATAATGAAGATAGAGCAGGGAAAACTTGTTTCTGTGTTTTAAAGTTGGTGCAGAGATCAAAACATGTATCACCTCCTTCCTAACTTTACCAAATAGGAATTTAGTTAAATGAAATAGTTTTGAGGGGATTCACAGTTCATTTCATTTCTCTTTGGTTTCAGAATGAAGGCCGCATGTTTCGTGTTCAGTTTGGTGGTGATTCACAGGAAGAGATGCTGGAAAACTGCTGGAGTTGTGTTCAGAAACTCACAGAGTATGTGTCAGTGCGAGGAACCGAGGAGCAAAGTCAGCAGCTCTACCCCAGCCTCAGTCAGCTGGCCTACGGTGACAGCCAAGTGAGGAACAGTGAACTATATGCACCACTACTACAGGTAGTAACCAACCAAGAACATACAGACACAAAAATAATCCACTATTAGTGTTAGATCTGTGACAAATCTGACTTCTGAGCAAAGTTTCTTGGCGACTGTGGGACCATCTCTATGAAACACGAGTTGGGAAACCCAAATATCCTGCAGGGAAACCTAGCTGGAGAGTTATTCAGGAGGTGAGCTGCTGAAGCTGGCCACCATCTTCCCATTTGCTTAGCCTACCTCAGAGAAGTTAACAATGCTCAAAAGTGGTTGAGCTCTTCAACCTTATTATAAGTTACCTCAGAGCATTATAGATCATCTCATTTTGGCTTCCAAGAGGTCACCAAAACCCAAAATCAATATACACAGTTCATATGATCACAGGAAGAGTATCAGGAAGCAGATGGGATGAGATTTATAGGTGGGGTAAAACCTTTGCTCTGGGGTTTGAACTTACATTTCATTAGGGAAACAAAGAGAACAAGTTATGCAGGGCTCAGGCAAACAGAGGAAATTAGTAGCTGTTAGAAGAAACAGCAGCAAACACTCCAGCCAAGTAACAGTTATTTGGGAATACCAATCCAGGGAATTGTCAATTCCCACTCAGGTTTGGTGGAAGACCAAGATGGTTTCTGCTGAGGTTAATAAATAGGGAACAGCAAAGGAGAGCTGAATAGTTACCAAATCCCCCACATCTACAATTCCATCAATGCAGATTCCAGCAAAGGCTACTGGGAACCTGGGACTCTCAGATACATTATACAAGGTACAGGATCAGAGTCATTAAGTAACCATGAACTGTGTTCTCCTTCTGGTGTTTGCCTACTCCTGGTTTGCAGTGTTTGTTACTGTAAATATGCAGTTGGAGAAATGTGAGCTTAACCTGACATATTTTAAAGCAATTTTGGGGTAGAAACTGAATGTTTCTGTTTTCCCAGACAAAGACTTAAGGTAAATGGGAAAGGCAAAAGACAGAGGGTGTTTCTGAGGGTGACTAACTCTTAACTATGTGCTCTCTTGGGTATCCAGAGGATCACATTTACCAGCTCTAAAAACATCCCTGCACTAACTTAGCCAGGAAAGCTCTTGGGTACAGGATAAAAATATCAGGACTGAGGCTGAGCCTGGAAAAAAGAATGTCAAAGCTTTCAGCTACATCATTTTCATGGTATAATTTAGGAAGGTCCTGCTCTACCAGGCACTAAAATCATATTTAGTAGGGAAAGTGTCAATTTGGCTCCCTCCATTTCCAGGAGTGCATGAGGGAGGCCTTCAACAGCTGATAGTGATGATATACTTTGTTCTTTAAGCAGATTACCTACACTTTGGGCTTTGCTCATTTCCTGGTAAGCTAAAGTAACGAATGGAAGGTACAGAAAGTATTTTGTAGTAGAAGCCCAGCAGTCATACTGTTGGCATGACTAACACTCTTCCTCCAGAGGTTAGACTGAAAACTTCTCTCAGAAAATAAAACTGACAGCTTCAAGCATCTTGTCAGTGCCATGGCCCATGGGAAGGAAAACAGCATGCTCCTGGTGAGTGTTCCTCCACAGCTGCTTGCAACTGACTTCCAGAAAGGAGTTTCAAATTGATCTTAGCTTAGACATGACAGGTTAACTGCAGGCCCATTACTTCACGTCTTTCATTTGTAAAGACTTCAGCAGATGTGCATTCAGGTTCCAGAACAAGATGCCTTTTACTGCAGAAGGTAGCTGAGCACATTCTCTTCCTGTTATCTCTAAAAATGGAACTACTTCTCTTCTTGCACATACCCACACTCTGCTTGGTAACAAGCCCTTATTTGCATTTGGTATTTTCCAGCCAGATGAGCCTCTCCCAGATTCCTGTGCAAGCCTTGGAGAAAGAAGATCTGTACCACAGCTTGCCCAGGTAGAGCAAAAATAATATATCTAACATTTACGTCCTGTAACTGAATCTCTTGGGCATGGAAAGAGCTTGAGTTATCTCACATTCTGTCAACATCAGCTTTCACTGAACATCAGGATGCCATCATCTACACCAACAAAACCCACAGGATCTCTTGTAATGATCTGGAGCTAGGAAATAAGCTGCAAACCCAGGTATTTCATGATGTAATTATGCCATTTGCCTAAGAACAAAGCACACACTGAGAGCAAACACCCAAGATGTCACATCCAAGTAAGTGGCTTTGTCACTCTTTTGACTGCAGAAATTACATCAGCAGTCATAGCTTAAATCTGAAAACATCAGTCATAGAATCCCTGACTCTTTTGGGTTGGAAGCAGCCTTAAAGCTCATCTCAATCTCCCCTCTGGCAGGTTCAAGCCATTCCCCTTGTCCTGTCCCTCCAGGCCCTTGTCCAAAGCCCCTCTCCAGGTTTCCTGGAGCCCCTTTAGGCACTGGAGTTGCTCTAAGGCTTCCAAGAGCCTTCTTTTCTCCCAGATCCCCCCATACCATTGACAGCCTCAGGGACAAATTCAGGGTTATGCTATAATCAAGAGTAAGTGGAAGTTACCTGTTGTTTCTTTTCTGTGAATTTGAGACAGCACAGAATTCGATGGCTGAGAAAACTCAACTCTTTTTAACCTGTTTTTGTGCAGTTGCTTCAATGCATCTTTTTTACCCTTCTTCCACATTCACAGCACAATCAGCTCAACATTTCTTCCCATCAGTAGTATAAGGGACAATTCCTGTGCTCTTATTACAAATCTGTCATCTCTTAAACCCCCCAAAAAAGCCTTTTATAAACACCTCTATTTTCAGAAGGCAGCTTGCTGTGCTCTCCTCTCAGCAGTGAGAGCTGTATTACATGCCCTGCTGTTCAATTCCCAGCAGCTTTGGTACTGTCCTTGTACAATGCAGCAAGAGTGCAGCACCAAGCCAGAGGGATCAAACAAGGCAGTTGGCCTTTAGCAGCTCTATTTTTCATCACCAGTCTCTGCTTTATGAGGCAATACTAGGGCTTGTAAACCACCACCACCATTACAAACAATTCAAGCTTATAACAACTGCTTTTCTGTGGTCCCTGTGTAAGACAAGACACGATACCCACTTCAAACAAAGCCTTCTGCCCAAGGCCTGTATTTACTGCACACATTTAGCCATCTCTCGCTTTATTCCCCAGCACAACATGACTCTTTGGTGTAGCAGCTTTACTACATCTTAATACAACTGTGCTTCAAGCACTGACCCACACAAACTTTGCCTAGGGCTGAACTTCTTCACAACAAACGCCTTTTCAGCTGGTGCTCTGGGATGTGCCGGAGTTCAAGGTCTCCATTCCCAGCACTTCAGGAAGGTGGCAGAAGCAGTGGCTTTAGAGCATTCTCCTTTATTTAAAAATACATCTCAACAATCTTTAAAGATCTTTTTCTCCATCAGAAGAACAATCCTGTGATGTGAACCAACAGTAAGGTAATATTTTTGCTACAGGGTTTTGTTTTCCTCCCCATCGTGCTCCAGCCACCAGTGGGCCTGGGCCACACACCAGTTGTCTTGTGCTGTTGTGGGTTCAAGCACCAGAAACCTGGCTCAACACATCAAAAAAAGAGGCCAAACTCAGCATGTGAAGTTATTAAAAGCCAGGCACAGACTAACCAGCATTGGGCATTTCCCCTGATACCAGAACCATTCACCTTGATCACTAACTCCCTCTGCACATCACACCCCATGGTGAAAGCAACACATCCATGATTGTCTTTGCTTCTGCTCTCCCAAGTGTCCAAAAAGCATCCGTGACTTAACGGCTTCAGTGCAGATGGGTAGAGAAAGCCAGAGGCTGAGTGGGGACGTCCTTTGCCCACCACTGAGGGAAAAACAGGAGGAGGTGGTTAAATCAGCATGAAAATGTTTTAATTCTTAAAAGCCCCCTAATCTACTTCTAAAAGCCACCAAAGCCAGGTTGGACACAGGGGCTTGGAGCAACCTGCTCTAGTGGAAGGTGTCCCTGCCCCTGGCAGGGGGTTGGTAACTAGATCAGCTTTAAGGTCTCTCCCAACCCAAACCAGTCTGAGATTCTTGCTAAACAAAGAGCTTTGCACTGCACACTTGGTTACCCACACACAATGCAAGTGGCAGCACATGTGCTTTGTACCAGATCCTTTTCTCTTACACACAGTGGATCTTCGTGAGGAAGCCCGGGGAACTGGGGAAGAAAATAACACAGAGAAAAAACCCTGTAGAGATAAAATTACATGGAGAAATCTGACCTGCTTGAAAGGATCCAAACAGCATAAATAACATGGCAGATGCATCTCTATTAAATACCAAAGGAAAACCTTGATGTAGCTGCACTTACCTTTACCTACATTTAACTGAACTACCTACCTTTAACTACACCTTTTCTGTCCTGGATTAGTACAACCCTTTGGCTTTTACTTCCCCAGAGTGTGCTGAACAAGAAGCTTGAGCTGCCCCCTTCACCCCAGCACCCGGCGTGGGGCACCCAGGAGCTGGGGCCCTTCATCCGCTTCTGCCTCCTGGATCAGCATTTCCCAGCTTTTGTGCAAGCCGTGGAGAAGGAACTACAAAAGCTTACAGAAGGTTGAGAAGTACCAGCTCGTGGCAGCTGGGATACAGGCTCTGGGATTCCCGACACAGGGATACACCGGTTACCTGGGATTAAAGGTTTGAATAAATCTCACACAGGGTTTTTGGGGGTGTTTTTTTTGGTCAGTGTTTTATTTTTAAAAACAGGTGAATCCACTTTTTATACATCATTGCACTTCAACAAATACACAGAACACAAGTTCATGCATCTACAGTTACGCACATCATGAGAACCCTGTTAGGTCTATTTCTACAATCTTTAAATCATGAGAAATTACAGTGTCAAACTGAAGAGTATAACTAGTTGCATAGAATATCACCATGCTGTAACATTTCATCATTTAAACAAAACCCCAAAAAAAAAATTATAAAAGTTTGCCTGAATCGAATGTACAAGAATATGTTGAACACATCAGTGCAAAAGGAGTTGAGAATTTACATGAGTTAACAAAAAAAAAAAACCATCACTTAAAAAGCAATCATATATATATATTTATAAACTGAAGGTTTTTGTTTTCCACTGCATTCCACCACCACGTCCAACCCTTCTGCCTTTGGAAGTCTGATCATAGGACACCCGAGACTCTCTCTATAGATTAAGCCCTTAAGATAATTTCAATTTATATTACTTCTCCAAGTACCAGCACACTAGAATTCTCTCATCTTTCAGACATACAGTAAGGAATGAAATATCAGCAGCTTAAAAATGAAACACGATTACTGGATTTTGGTTTTACCCCCTCCTCCCCCAAAATATAAATATATACTGTATATATCTTTTCAGTTTTGCTGTACTTTACAAAAAGTCTCACTAGATGGCAGCGGTGCGGTTCAGAGCCCGTTTGAACAGCTACAGGAAGTAAAAAATAGCGCATGCGGGACTCGCCGAACTACCTCTACCGGTTAAATGATCCAGGAGGGAAAAGAAAGAAAAACAGGGGAAAAAGAAAAAGAAGAAAAAAGCAACATTCACAGCACATCAAAGCCCAAAATAGTTTACACCTTCTACACTGAAGCGTTATTAAAATGTATCTGGCTAGGTGATCCTTGCAGAGAGGCTAAATAAGGCATGCTTTAGACAGTCATATCGTTGCTCACTTGAAAAGGAGAAAAATAAATGAAAATAAAATCAGACAGAACTGGAGTTCTAGAACCAAGAGTTCCAACCCTTAAATTTAGCAGGTCATATTGCCATCAGTCTCTCAGAAACTTAAAGCTCTAAAAAAGAAATGAGAAAAGGTGCTAGTCAATGCCCGGCAGCGGAGGGAACGGTTCAAACAGCGTGCAAACAGAGCGCTCAGTGAAGGTGAACTAGAGGCATCCCGACTGGATCGCTTCTGGATTTTAACACTGAGTGAGGAAGGGCTTGGGGTTTGTTTAATGAGCAATAGGAGGGATGATGCAGAGCCTGACAGCATGTGGGTTCTTAAACTGCCTGTGTGATTTGGGCTATCTTTGGAAAGCGGGGCGCAAAGGGCCAGCGCCATTCCCCAAGCAGCCCGCAGTGTTTTAGTGCGAGGAGGAGGTTCTGTTACACACCCCAAGCACTACAGAAAGAGGAGGGGGTTTAGCCTGCCCATTGCAGAGGTGCCCACAGGTCATACTTACATGATAAGCATTTTTAATTTGTGTTTCTCTGGCGTAAGTTTTTATCTTTGTGATTGTTTGTAGAATTGGTTTTCCTGGAGAAATAGCAACATAAAAAAAATGCACCAAAATCAAGCAGAAGCATAAGAAAAAATGTCTTTGTACTCAAGTCAAACAGCATTTCACCTTTCCTCCTAAGTGGCTAAAGACAGCAGGATGTTTAGGCTTTGTATCTTGCCACCTTCTCACCCAGCACAACTCACCTCACAAGGGCACTGCCAATAGTTCTCCCTTTTCTTTACTGCAACACTAACAACAACCCAAGGGGTCTATGACAGGCTGAGAGAGCTGGGCTGGTGCGGCCTGGAGAAGAGAAGGCTCCTGAAAGGGAGACCTTAGAGCAGCTCCAGTGCCTAAAGGGGCTCCAGGAAACCTGGAGAGGGGCTTTGGACAAGGGATGTAGGGACAGGACAAGGGCAATGGCTCAAACCTGCCAGAGGGGAGACTGAGATGAGCTCTTGGGCAGAAGCTCTTCCCTGTGAGGGTGCTGAGGCGCTGGCACAGGGTGCCCAGAGAAGCTGTGGCTGCCCCATCCCTGGCAGTGTTCAAGGCCAGGCTGGACACAGGGGCTTGGAGCAACCTGCTCTAGTGGAAGGTGTCCCTGCCCGGGGCAGGGGGCTGGAGCTGGACGAGCTTTAAGGTTCCTTCCAACCCAAACCAGGCTGGGATTCTATGACCAGTAATAACATCACACATAATATCAACCCCATATCATGTAAACTCCCCAAAACTCTCAGATTAAGCCAAGTAGTATTTTTTTTTCTGAAAACACACTTACATTGGCCCAGCTGGTTCATCATCTGCAACAAGAATTCCGATGTGATCCAGGGAAACACAAGGAAACGAAAGGGAAAAAACAAAAAGAGAGTCAGTCTTTGCACCGTGCACCGGCCAAGCCGCGAACAGCAAACCGATTTATCTACAGCGTTAAAGGCCATTCCACTTGGGAGTGCAAAGATTCATGGAGCTGCTTGTCTGGATTCAGGGTTTAATGGCAGGTATGTTGCCTCAATGGTTTTAGTTAACACTTGGGATGCTGGTCATGAAGAACTGCAACTGTAGCGGACAGATTGTTGCAATATGGTCAAGACTCATCTTGTCCCCAAGTTCCAGTGGTTCAATCTCATAAAAAAATAGATGAGAAGACAAACCAACGATTCAGTTGTAAAATCCTGCTGGTTGTTTGCTTGCTTTGATACTGCTTTAATATAGGTAGTATTTTTTATAAGCCATTCTTCAAGTGCTGATGGGTAATTACCGGTATATACCCTACAGGGTATACACACCACATGCTCGTTTTCCCCCGGATGATCCAACCTCTACATATTCCTCTTTCCTCAAGGTCTGATTAGATTGGAGCTTGTTAGGAGGAGGTTGGAGGTGTAATACTTGGTTCAAGTATCCAAATGCAGTCCGTGGGCAGCAGCAGGCATCCTGCGTGTGTCCGACAGGGCTCAACACGCTGGGAAGAGGCAGGGTCAGGGGTGTTGTAACACCTCCAGACACACCAGCTACGCAAGACACGGCCTTGTTCTGCTCGTGTCTTGTGGCAAAACTGTTCTCTTTAAAGAATTGGGAAGAACTCTGCCAATGAGTAATGTTTAACATTAGTGACCAATTGAACTTTGGTGTTTGAATTAGAAACCCCCTTGTTTTGCTCCCAAGCTGCAGTATGGAAGGCAGAAGTGCATTTAAACAGCAATACAAAAATCAATCCAAAAGGTTAATGTTCCTGTAGAGGTACTTTGGGGGGACCAATTGAGGACCCGCTGGCTTTGGCACTCAACAGTTGCCGTTCCCACCTCAGGCTGGAGGGATGTGTCACTGAAGCCTTTAAGAAACTCTCAGCAGGATTCCACAAGGGTGCTTAGTGCACATGAAGCAGGTATGGAAATTACAGTCTCAACAGTGTGGGCATCTGCATGAGCACACGCTAGGAGTAATGTCGGTCAAAGGGGACATTACTCCACCTGTACCTTCAAGGCAACGGATAGGCAAAGCCACCGCTAGCACAGACAGTGACCGGAACAGAAACAAAATACTTCAAAGAAAAGAAAGAACTAACCACAAACCAAGAGCTTTACAGCCAAAATAACACACTAGCGACACACCAGTGTCCACAGAAGTCCACTACCAGCAACAGTACACTACCGGACAAGATACAGAGAGAACTAGGACTAGTAAGGACAACCACACATCAATGTGCTGTTGTATATACAGTGGAGATATACAGAGACACATCAGGTACTGGAACACAAAGCGCAGTAGAGTAAATCTAGAACTTCCTTCTATGAACATCTTTTGCTTCACAAAAGATCTTCAAGTCGGCTGCACTCTGGGTGGGAAGTGCCTTGGCCCGACAGCACCCTCCCTCCCCTGGCCCGGATGCTCTGCACTAGAACTTGGGACCTCGGCTTTCTGAGAAGCATCAGACATCTTTGGAAGTTTGTTTGGCCACACTTCAGGAACACCAAACTGCACCGGGAAGATCCAAGCTCCCTCTCACTAGCAAATAACCAGTTCTCCTTCTCTGTTAAAATACTTCCATGGCTGTTGCAGCTAAGTCATTTTGTGTGCTTAAAAAAGAAACCAAACCATCACGTTTATAAAGGCTGTCATTAGGTGTTTTCCTGACAAAGAGCCAACAAAAATGCTTATTGGAATACTTAAGACTATAGGGTGGATCACCACCGCTCATCCCTCTCCTATCTATAACCTCAGTGGAGATAAAAGAAGCCTGAGGGAAGTTTCTCTGTGCGTTCCTCTCCCGGTCAGGCACTGAACTGCTGGCAAAGCATCCCCAGTACAGTACAGACAGAGACCGAAACCGTAGCGAAACCAGGGGGCAACAGACCAACAGAAAAATAAATACAAAATCAGACTAAAGGAAGATTTAAAAGAACAGCAAACTGAAATCCAAATTAGTCGTGAACGTGAATGAAGAAGTTTTAAGGAAAAAAAAACGTGTTAACGTTATGACTTGTGCGTTGTATAGACTGAAGCTGAGATTAAACAAACTCCAAAGCATGCAGAGCTCTCACTTACCACCAGTTTTTTAAGGGTATGATGCAATTGAAGGGGGGAAACAAAACAAAAACAAAAACAAAAAAAAGAAGTCATAGTAACCGACAAGTATCAATATAACTCAACCCCTTTATGCCAGGTGAGCTGACCTAGCCACCGCTGCTCACAGGATGGACACCCTATGGCCACAGAGCACGGCCTCCCAGTACGCTGCTGCATTCCAGCCCGTGTGGCTCCCACAGTGCTGCCAGGTGACCATGCGTAACCCCTCCTTTTGCAGGCATTTCCCTTTGGAATTGGGAGGGGATCTGCAGACTCCAAAAACCCC